TCCTTCTTTGATGATTTTTTCTTTCTTTCTGATACTAATCAAGGTGTGCAACATCAGATCAAATCAGGTAAGTATTTATCAACAGAAGCAAAATTGTTGTTGTTGTTGTTAAGTGCCATTGAGTCGGTTCCGACTCGATGGCACCTGACAACAACAACAACAATGACTCAATAGCACTTAACATTTCAAAATAGGGGAGTATGTATGGTGGCTCCGTAGTATAAGGACTGGACTGTGAATCACCAAGTCAGCAGTTTAAGCCCACCAATCATTTTACAGGAAATGATGAGGCTTTCTACTCCCACAAAGATTTATAATCTCAGAAACCCTATACAGGCTCGCTATGAGTCAGAACTAACACAACAGCACTTAACAACATTTCAAAATAAATCCCTAGGACTTGATCATGAAAATCAGAAAGAAAAAAAAAAAAAAAAACACTGCATTTTTATTTGGAAACCCATATTTGAACCCTAGCATTGTCTATGCTTAAACAGTTACTTCTAACTTTACTTGGTTTTCCTAGAGATGAAAATATTTTTGACCTTGTGGCTATTGAGGACAATGATATCATAGTTATGACTGCAAAACTGAATTCTTTATGATGAAAGCCCCTTCTATAGTTATTGTGGCACAGAAGCTACTAAAAAATTCTTTCACTTTTTAAAGTCGAGGGTTGGGATTTATTACAAATATGGCTTTATAAGTTGTAGTTACAGATAAAAATAATGTCTAGAGGCTCTGAATAGGTTAATATAAAACAGATATTCTCTGTTTAATTCTGCAATGTCTTATTTATACAATGAGGATTTAATTTTTTTAAATATTTAAACTTGCTTCTGGCTTTTGTCTTGTTCTGTGTTCAGCTTTCTTTGTTACACATTTAAAACGTTCTGGTGAGGTGCCATTACAATATTAACTTCTCTACTTATGAAATTATTTATACATGATTTTAAACACATCTTTGAAAACGATAGACATTGTCTGGTTTTAGGAAAACACATCCCTCCTCTGTATTTGGGTATTTTTCATTCTTAGTGTCCAAGCATCTTTCAATTTTCCTTAAGATTTTGATTCCTTTAGTTTTCAAAATAGTAATTACTCCCCAAACCTTAGAAGATAGTTCAGATTGAAAATGTTATGGGCCCACACAAGTTTCAGAAGCTCTTTCAATTGGAGTTATAATTAGTTAAGGTCAAAGAAGTTAATGAAATTCATTTTCTCGTGAATTTAATTTGTTCTTAGACTGTGGCACTCAACTGTGGCAGCTAACATTGTGTTCTAATAGCACTAGAACTGAAGAGTCTACTAATGTAAAACAATAAACTAAATTACTTTTATAAAGAAAAACTAAATCTGAGAAAAATTGTTACGTTAAAATTGCTATTGTTATTAGTTGCCATTGAATTGGCAAGGATTCTACCACTGAGCCTTCATAGATCTTTTGTTCCTAAATAATAGTTAGCTTACATTTTACATGAATGATCTGAGGTCTATACAGATGAGTATATACAGAATACACTGAAAGGAGCAGTGGTTAAGCACTTGACTGCTAACTGAAAGTCAGTGGTTAGAACCCACAAGTCCCTGAAAGGGAGAAAAATGGCATTGTCTGCTCCCGTAAAGATTTATGGGGTCAGAAGCCCTATGGGGCAGTCGTACTCAGTGGCAATGCGTACAAGAATTCACAAACATTTACTTGATTTTTCTTGGGCTTGTCACTTCATAGAAGAATGGATGCACAAACAGAACCTCTTTGTATGAGGACATAATTATACAGGTATAGTGGTGGTGATTATGTGTCTTTGAGCCTGTTCTAACTCATAACAACTCTGTATGAGTTGTTTCTGCTCATCTCATGATGAAAGACTGTTCATCTTTATTAGAGCAGAAAGCCTCCACTTTCTCCCATGAATATGAACTACTGACCTTGTGGTTAGCAGCCTAACATGTAACTCACTACACTGCCAGGGCTCCATATACAGATATGCTGTTGTTGTTAAGCATCATCAAGTTGGTTTTGACTCATAGCGACCCTAGATAGGGTTTCTGAGGAGCAGCTAGTTAATTTGAACTGCTGACCTTGAGGTCCAAACTGACTTTTCAGTCTAGTACATGATAATGAAGCACCACACCAGGACTCCTATGTAGCTATGGGTCAGTTAATTTTACAAAAAGGGCATTTTTTATGATTGTTCCCTTTTGAAGTTCTGCTTTGTCCTCAGAACAGTCAGTGATACTTCATTATATCAAGTAACATCTTCCCACATGGATAACTTGGTGGTCAGTGAGGATGGGAATGGCGAGTGCTTTGGTCAAATACATTTGAAAAACCCTTACCAAACAAAATAATCAAGTTGCAGGGTTTCATAGTATCTTGAATATGCTAATAAGCACTTGAAGAGGGGAATATATAAAAATTTCCCATTTGTTTTTCACCCAATAGAAGTTATCCTGAGAGACTATACTGAGAGACAGTTTTCTTTATATTTATTGTGAACCTGCTGTGATTTACATTAACTTTATCTAAAGTCATTTGCTTTGTCCTTGGCTCCTGAGAGAAAATCCTAAATGCTATGTATGTTTGTGTCTTCAGACTACACTTGAGAGTTTATGCTAATGAAGTAACTCAGAGAGGGACTGACCAGGTCAAAAAGATTCATGCAAGATATTGTGACCTCAGGGGTAATGGGTTGATTCCAGCAGTTACGAATACATAATGAGGTTCTGGTAAAGGCTTTGACATGGAAACTCCATGGACTTACATGCCAGTGAAAGCAGTGATGTACCTGAGAGGGTAGCAGGTCATTGTACGGCACATGGAAGCTTTGGGACCCCTGTCATACTTCTCACTTTGTAAAACCCATAAATCATTTTAATGAACTGCTGAACCCAAGAGAGTAGTGGAAGCCAGTAGGTCAGAAGTTGAGAGCGTGCTGAGGATCCCTGAAACTACACGTTTGTTGTTGTGCAGTTCAAATTGACTTTGCAGTCCAGCACATGAACCCACAGTACCACACCTGGACTCCATCCTGAAGGTGGTAGTAGGAAAATGCCACATTTGAAGCCAGCAGGTCAGAAATGAGGACTCCCAGAAATGCAGTTGGTATATGAAGTCTTGAACCTACTTGACAGTCTAGAGGGCTGTGTCTGTTAACTTGTGAGATCTGCCCTAGTTCCAAGTGGTTATTTATGATCAGAGGAAGAAGTGTTGCACATGCAGCTTGTGGTAGAGAAGTAGGAAGTGGAGATTTTCACTGGTGCTCATTATTATCATACCTGCTCATCAGTAAGACTTATATTCATCAAATTCCTTCATAGGGTCATTCCCTATTTCTAGTTAGATCCCATTACTACTTTTGGGGTATATTACTATGCTTATGTGGTTCTTAGAATTCTCATTTCCATTATACCTCCTGCCTTTCCTTTAGATTATATATTTCTTGCATTTCTTCTTCACCATTAAATCATCTTAAAATAAGAGATCATCCACTGTCATGGTTTCTACAACACCTAATGTAGTTCCCAGAACTTGTAGGCACATAATAGATTATTTGCTGAATGGCTAAAGCCATCCATCTCAAATATGAAAGCAAAGGATTACAAGAGTTCCTCAGAAAAGCAAAATAGGTTTCCTCAGGAACATAAAATGTTTCTTCACCTCTTTGAGAATGAATGGATTGGACATGTAGTTTTAAATGCATCTTTATGCTCAATTTAACTGTTAATACCACTTCTGAGTGACAGGAAGAATAAATCACCTTAAGCAAAACCTCCACTTAAAAAAATTCAAACATAAAAAGAATCATGCAAGGTTGTTTTTATTAAGGTTTATATTCAGATTACAGCTAAGTGTTTCAGGTATTACTTCTTTTGAGAGACAGCTACCACATTCTAGGAGATATTTCAAGAAGACAGCAACGATTTCACAACTATTTGGGGTAGCAGAGCAACCCTATTGGGTATGTAACACATATGTTAAGCACTACAAGGGGTTCTTAGGTGAAAGAAGCTAAATGACAACTGATTATAACTGGTTACAAATGGTTCTCCTCTATAAAGTGATTATCCTGGACAAATGGGTACAAAGTAAAGATCTATGATTACTACAGAGCTAGAGGGATCTTTTATCCAAGTCCATCCTTTTTATTTAGGATAGCAATTTGGGATCACATATCAGAAGGCAAATAATTCTTTCAAAAAAAAAGTAGCTACATGTCAAGTTTTCTATGTGTGGTAGTAATGCTAATGTGATTCACTTGTTTTTTTAAAAAAATCAACAATAGAACATTTTTAGATGTAAAGTCTACGTTATTAGCGACTATAGGAGATGCTTAGCAATTGAAGTTTCTTCTCTCCACTCTTGTGGTTTTCTTTATGAATTTTTCTGGGAAATTTTCATTGTGACAGTTTTGACTTCTGTATATTCGTGAAAGCCATATTCTCCCCTAGAAAGAGGTGGAGGGATAGAGACAGCATTTAACACAACAATACAAATACACTTCATAGTCCATGAGTTTGGTACAAGTTAGTTCTTGCTTATCTGCTTAGGGGCAATAGAAAATACTTGCAGGGTACAGAAACATTTGATATAGTAACTAGTCAACCATAAGATATTTGGACTTACAAAAAATCCTCCTGTGGGAAACATTCTTCAACTATTACTTTCCTTTTATGTAATTATGTACTCTAGGTTGACTGTCATAGAAATTGCCAGTTTCTTATATAATGACTATAAAAGCATTAACCACTGAAGACAGTACAGTCCAACAAGGATTCTATAATTTCTACTTTAGGTTCAAATACGTAAGACAGATACAGTATAAGAGAAGTAGTAACAGTACATCATCACTCAACACAGTTGTTGTTATTAAATGCCATCAATCAGTTCTTATAGAGACTCTGTATAGGGTTTCTGAGGAGCAGCTGGTGGGTTTGAATCCCAGACTAGTGGTTAGCAATCCAGTGCTAATAGTACAGTAAAACTCTAAGCCCAAGGACATCTTGTATTTACTATCTTTGATTGACATAGATGTGTAAAGGTGGTGACATGACCCTTGCTCTTGTTTCCATGATAAGGTGTACTAACCTGCCCAGTCATGACTTAATGTTTTCTAGTTGGGATTTAGCTATATCTTTTATTTCTTGGCAAAACAAAAACTCAACCTTTATTATTAGACTTTAAAATATTATTTATTATTAGTTTGTTAACAGCTTGGGCAAATGTCAAGCTTTGGGACTTCTGGCAGCTAGATTTTCCCCTTCATACAATCCCCTGCCATTTGCTTATATAACTTTTAAATCCAACCAAGTGATCAGGAATTAATCCAAGTCAACCAATTTGAATCCAGGTATCCTGAAAGAAATTATGTCTATGAGGATGAATGCTGACTTGGATTTGCCCTTTGTGGAAGAGATAACATAAAGGATTGAGCTACATTCGTCTCTTGATTGTTTTGAAGAGAGGATCAAATTACGATATATAAATGTACTCTTAATGATAAAGCATGTGTAGCACATGTAGGCTTAAAGAAGAAAAAGATCTTGATCCTTTTTAACTCCTCCCTCCTTGTGATGTAGACAGGTATATAGAAGACATGTTCTCCTGGCAACATAATCCTCTTAAACTGATTATTTTCTTGGGCAATTGAACTTCTGAAAATGCCTTCTAAAAGCTTCAATGAGCATGCACTTTACAGTAATTAAAGGGTTTAGCCTCAGTTGTCTGGAGCCCATTAAAGTATAACATTTAATAAGCATTTTATCTCAAAGGATTAGATAAATTAACTCATGAATTTTATAATAGAATTTTATTTTATTTTGTGTTAATGGGGTCTTGAAACTCTCAAAAGAATAATAAATGTGATTAGTGCCAAAGATGTGTTGAAATTGGTACTGCACCTTAGTATTTTTTTCCTTTTTGCTTGATATTTATGAAGTAGACATCTTCAATATATTTGATTCTGTAAAGTTTTTATATTGTTATTAGCATTATCAGTTTGCTAACAGGTTGGACTAAAGCCAAGCTTTTTTTTTTTTTTTTTTTTTTTGCAGCTGGATTTTCCCCTTCATACAACCTCTTCAATCTCTTGCTATTTTAAAAAAGAATTTATGTTATATATGTATGTGTATATATATGCATAAATCTAACATATAAATATAACTTTTTCCTCAAGAATAGGAAAATTTAAATGAAATAAAGTGGTTAAATAGTTAAATAAAATTCAGTGTGGTGCTGTGGGTTAATGCACTGGACTGCAAAGCCATTTGAACTGCAAGGTCGGTGGTTCAAGCTCACCAGCTGCTCCTTGGAAACCCTATACAGGGTCGCTATGGGTTGGAACCGACTCAAAGGCACTTAACAACAACAACCACTGATTTCTGTATGGTGGTGGTGGTTATTATGTGCCATGGAGTCAGTTCTGACTCATAGCGAACCTGTATGGGAGTTTTGAGGCTGTAAATCTTAACAGGAGCAGAAAACTAGGGAGCTCTGGTAGCGTAGTGGCTACGAATCGGGCTGCGAACCTTAAGGTCAGCGGTTCGAAACTACCAGCTGCTCCGCGGGAGAAAGATGAGGCTTTCTACTCCCGTAAAGATTTACACCCTCGGAAACCCTGTACAGGGTCGCTATGGGTCGGAACCGACTCGACGGCACTTAACAACAACAACAACATATACATAATTACCTATTTTAAAAATTATCTATGTATCTTGGTTTCTAAAGCAACTGAAGGCTATCAATGCACTTAAGAGGCCTCAAAAAGTTTGTGGAAAAAATTAATTATATTTTAATTCCATTTTTTTCACAAACGTTTTGAAGCCCTTTCATATATATTTTTTCAATCTAGTCATGACTATTAAATATATTGATTTCTTTAATCCATTGTACTTTAGAATTTAGTAAAAATATGAATCATTTAGCTAATTTTAAGTTTTAGAGTATACATCGAGAGTATATGAACCAAGGATAATCACTTGTCTTAACTCTGAAAGTTTTTACTTTTTTTAAAAAAATTCTGCTTTAGAGTTATATTCAAATAATTAGAGTATACTTGTATTAATAACTTTTTAATAATTATCAGTTTGTAGTTTCCATCTCTTTTCTGGAAATGTTTTCCAAATAGATCTACGTTCATATATGCAACAAACAATTTTAAAAGCAGATGCATATTTTAGTCACCCATATAAAATACCTAATATGGCCACTCATGAAAAGTAGAACTATAATAATTATATTTTCTTTCTGCTATCATCTTTCTAAGCCTATGGGGTGAAACTAGCATCTGGTAAACTATTTGGTGGGTGGTCTAGAACTCAAAAAAAAAAAAAAAAAAAAAGGCAGAGACAAATTTTGTTTAAAAAGGCAGTTCTGAATTAATTCATTAGGAGTGACCAGCATTTTTATGAAGATAAGTGCTTATCCTAACATAAAGTATTCTTACAGTTCTCGTCCATTTCCAGACATCTTGAATCCTCCAAAGGGACATTGAGCAGACACCACACTATAGCAATTCACCCTGAAAAGCAACAAAGTCCATTAGAGCAAATACTTTATCTATGAAATAATTCCCAATTTTGGAATTTTAGAAATTCAAAGACTACCTTAGGAGCTCCATTAATTTTAATATTCAGTATTCAGTGCAATAAGGAAGTATCACTGTAAATTAGATCGCAGAAGCATAAGTCTATGTATACCTATGCTGTTGTTGTTGGTAAGTGCCGTCAAATAAGGTCTGACCCATAGAGACCCTGTATAGGGTTTTTTAGGAGTGACTGGTGGGCTTGAACCACCAATCTTGTGGATACATATGCTACTGAGAAACAAATAGACTGATACACCTATAATTGTGCATAGTCATTCTGGTAGTACATCATATTCATGAGAAACACTAGTTTGGATTATAAATGAATAGTCAGCCTGTCATAAGAAGAAGGATACAGTTTGCTAGAGAATTGAGGTTGTTGCATAGGTGTTCTTTATTCTCTATATTCAAGAAGTTTTGTAATTCTCTTGAGACTTGGGAATTTAACATGCTAGAATCAATATTCTTTTGCAGTTGATTATGTATTGTATCAGTTCATTTTTTCATTATTTGATTTAATAAATTGCCTAAACAAAGGCCTTGGTAGCAATTAGATTGATTAGTAATATTTTATACCCTTAACTACTTCAAAAAAGTATGTATGAGTTCAAGTTATGAGTATAAAAACTTGAATAATTTAAATTTAAAAAAATGATGATAGAAGATTAAGATTAGGGTAAAGTTATAGTGCAGTTATGAGGACCATGAACAATTTCTTGTGGCCGAGATGAACAGTAACACCTAAATTAACATGATTCTCATTGCAGGAGGAAAACATTTTTAAGGGGGAAATGTGTTATCTATCTTTTTATCCTTTTTCTCCTTTCATTCTATTAAAATAGGTTGGCAACTGTGTGATTTCCAGTTCAACTGTATGATACTTAGAAGAATTTAGTCATTACTTATAGATCTAAGATAACATGCTGGTGTCTCCTCAGTTAAAGCACTTACTTTCCCAGTTTCTGGTGCACATCTTTAACCATGTCTCTGTACTAGGCAGACAGTCATTTAAACAAATTTATATTATAAAAAGACAGTTTACAACTATTGATCTGTAAGTATCTGGAACAAAAGAGAAAGAAGAAGACTAAAGACTTGAAGAAAGATGTTAATCAGATTCACAACAACTGGAACCAGGACCTCATCTATACTGAGACCAGAACTAGATGGTACCCAGCCACCACTATAAATTTTTATGACCAGGGACACAACTGTAGAGCAAAACTCAAATTTCTAAAAGAGGCCAAACTTACTGGATTGTTAGCAACTAGAGAATTCCTGAGACTATCTCCCAGAGATTTCCTTTAAACTTTGAACTGAAGCCACTCCCAGAGGTGACCTGTCAGCTAAATAGCAAATTGGTTCATAAAATAAACAATATCATCTATTAGTACTATGCTCCTTTAAGTAATAATTTATATGAAACCCAATGGTCAACATTGGTACCCTAAAACAAAAATGAGAATGTAAGAGGGGAGAGGGAAGCTAGAAAATGAACCACAAGAATGGAAATGAGAATTCTGATGTATCGTGAAAAATGTAAACAATGTATGCTGCCATTTTTAAGTGCTGTCGAGTCAGTTCTGACTCATAGTGACCCTACATAGAGTTTTTGAGACTTTAAATCTTTGCTGGAGCAGAAAGTCTCATCTTTTTCCTGGAGAGCAGCTGGCCGGTTTGAACTGTGGACCTGGTGGTTTGCAGTCCAATGCTTATCATTGGGAGCCACCGCACTCTCAAGCAACATGTATAGAAACTGTTAAATAGAAACCTAATTTGCTGTGTAATCTTTAATTAAAATAAATACAATAAAGTATTTTTTTAAATGCTTATCTCAGGTTTGTTTAATTGTTCTTTAAGCTGTAGAATGAGATCTTTACTTTTGAAATTACTGGGTAAAAGCTTAGCAATTCTAGAATTATACAGTTGTCTTGATAACACTAAGGGACTATTATATTCTGAGACAATGCCAGAATGTAATTATATTCAAGGACATAAAGTGGTGATAATATGGTTCCCTCTATTTTGATAGTATAAACATTACTGAGAGAATTCTCAAGACACTCAGTGGAATGGTATTATAATAAACTACATTTTCAATGGTCATATAGTGTTCTGTTATTCCAGAATAAAAACCTGATGCTTATCTTTGTTAAAAAGCACAGAAAATGAGTTTGTTCTTTTTTCTTTTCAATCAAAAGTGAGATATACATGTATTTATATATCCCACAAATATATAAGTTTGAAAGAGAGTATTTGTACATGAGTATTTACTTTTCCTACAAACACAACTATGAATGTGGTACAGTATACAGTGGGCAAAATGATGAAAACTTCGTAGATGTTATCAACCATCTTAAGATAATGAGTTGCTGAGTCTGGGGGCTTAGGACCATAGGCTTAGGGGACACCATGGCCAATTGGCATAAAATAGCCCACAAAGACTATGTTACTATTACTTGGGTGAATAGCATCTGGGATCTTGAATGCTCATGAGCGATCACCTAAGGTATAAATATTGGTCTCCACTTGTGCAAGAAAGAAGAGTGAAAATAATTAGAGGCTTGGAATCAATTAAGCCAATGGTTAATGAAACTTGTGAACATCAGTCTCCAGGACTCTTAAGGCCAGAAGAACTAGACGGTGCCTGGCTACCACAACCCACTGCTCTGAAAGGGATCACATTAGAGGGTCCCAGATAGAGAGGGAAAAAATGTGGAACAATACTCAAAATTATTTAAAAAAAAAAAGACAGGGCTTACTGGTCAGAAAGAGACTGGAGAAATCTGAGACTATGGCCCTCAACCACCCTTCTGGTCTGGGAAGGAACTTAGCCTCGTGACCCAATTTTCAGCCAAGCAGTAAAAAGGATTATGTTGTTGTTGTTGTTAGGTGCCATCGAGTTGGTACCAACTCATAGTAACACTATGTACAACAGAACAAAACACTGCTGGGTCCTGGGCCAACCTCACAATTGTTGCCATGCTTGAGTCCATCGATGCTGCCACTTTGACAATCCAACTCACTGGGGGTCTTCCTCTTTTTCTCTGACCCTCCACCTTATCAAACATGATATCCCTATCCAATGATTGGTCCTTCCTGACAATATATCCGAAGCATGAGAAATGAAGTCTGGCTATCATGGCCTCCAACGGGTACCCTTGGCTGTACTTCTTACAACACAGATTTGTTTGTTCTTTTGACAGCCCATGGTACTTTTAATATTTTCCTCCAACACCATACAGGCAGGTACAAGTAAGGTATGCTCAGCATAGAATGGTCAATCATTCAAAATTAAAAGGACAACATTTTCCTAAGAACAAAGTTAGGAATGGTGCAAAGTGGGTGGAATAGAAGTAGGAACTATAGGGAGGAGAAAAGATAACTGCTGTTGCATGGAGGGGCTTGTAATCATTGAGATGAAACAAAGTGTATGATTTGTTAAATGTAAAGGTGATGATTTTGTCTGTTAACCTTCATTAAATTCAAAGCAAAAAGTTAGAAATGACTTCAGTATAACTAAATAGAGAACTGAAACATATCCAGAGAAAACTAAGTTCAAAATGATCTGCCCTGCTCGCTGCTCAATGATTCTTTTGTGATCCTTCTTCCTTGTTGTAAAGAAGGGAGACTTATGGGTACAAACTTGGATCTGCCCCTTTAGTAACTACCTAGGAGCTCTGGTAGCGTAGTAGTTACGAATCGGGCTGCGAACCTTAAGGTCAGTGGTTCGAAACTACCAGCCGCTCCGCGGGAGAAAGATGAGGCTTTCTACTCTCGTAAAGATTTACACCCTCGGAAACCCTGTACAGGGTCGCTATGGGTCGGACCCGACTCGATGGCACTTAACAACAACAACAACAACAACAACCTCTCTAAATAGGTATTTCCTCCACTGTAAAATGGGGATTATGCTCAGCAGGATTATTTTAAAGCATAAGCAAGAATGTGTATAAACTGTGTTTGGTCGCAGTACATCATAAATCATGTACATCACGAGTGAAGATGATAATGCATGATACCAAATATTAATACATACAATGTTGTCTTTAAGTGTCATCGAGTCGGTTCCAACTCATAGCTACCCTGTATATGGTTTCTGAGGAGTGGCTAGTGAGCTTGAACCACTGACCTTGAGGTTCAAACTGATTTTCAGTCCAGTGCATTAATCCACAGCACCACACCAGGACCACTCACAGGTAATAGTAATGCTAAACAATATTAATGATTTTTTTTCTAATGAGAATTCTACATTAATCACTAGTTATACTGATTATTTAATGCTTTGTTTCCATTTAAAATTCTCTGAAAGAAAACATCCTCTTATTAAAAGAATTATGAACCAGTAGAATCTTTGACTTCAAAAATACCTAAGCTGATTTGAGGCTAAGGAGAGAAGTGCATTAACATTAACACACTGATTGTACCAATCTCTATGGCTAAGGCTGGGCAAGGGTCTTTTATTTTAAAAGTATTTTTCACTTTTTGTTGTACATAGGGTTGCTATGAGTTGGTACCAACTTGATGGCACCTAGTCTCAGATGACTAGCACTGAGAACCATTGTTTAGAGTCCCAAGTGGTTCTGAATCTCTGCTGTCATATATTGTATGAGTTTGATAAATTACTCAACTTCACTAAGCTTCAGGTTTTTCTGTCTACCAATCTGGCATTGATGTGGCACTGTAAGATAAAGCACTGGACCGCAAGGTCGGTTTGAATCACAAGGTCGGTGGTTCCAACTCTAAAGACACTCTTTAGAAGCGCTTACAAGGTGACTATGAGTCAGAACCAACTCAGCAGCACTTAACAACAACATTGGGATAATATGTTATCGTAAAATAACTATAAAACTATAAGACAATAAGAGACAATGAATGTTTTTATAAATACAGTACAGTCTAGTGAAAAATCCAAGTCTAAAGCGATTTCAGGTAATTTGTTAATATGGTTACCAATGGGAAGGCTGTATCATTTAGCGTTGACTTACCACACTGTCCCAGCCTGCAGTGCAGAGGAAACGGTCACAGCTTTATCAAGGTCCTTGGTAAAGATTCCTGCTGATAAGCCGTAGAGAGTGTTGTTTGCTCTCTTGATCACATCATCTAAGGATTTAAACTTCATGATTTGTTGGACTGGCCCAAATATCTATACCACAGAAAATTAAAGAAATGGATCAAATAATAGGTTAAGACCAAATATTTTAAATTACTTTATAGATCGTTTTCTCCTACAAATTATCCTAATTTAAGAGTTTCCACCCTGGTGTGGATAAGCACTAGACTGCAAGGTCAGTTTGAACTGCAAGGTTGGTCACCAGCCACTCTTCTGAAACCCTGTACATGGTGGCTATGAGTTGGGATGGACTTGATGGTACTTAACCACAAGTCATTATAAGTGTTGTTTTTGTTAAGTTCCATAGAGTTGGTTCTGACACATAGTCACCCTGTCTAGGGTTTTCAAGGAACAACTGATGAGTTTGAACTGCTGACCTTTTGGTTCAAACCAACTTGCAGTCCAGTGCTTATCCTACAGTACCATACCAGGACTCTATGTGTAACTAAACAGGTAATTGCCAGAGTGTTGAATAAAGATAAGCTATAGTCATCTGTTATATCCTCTTTGGGACAGGGTGGGATAAATAAATAAGCCAATATTACTTTTCTAGATATTGGAATTAGATGTTGGAAGTTAATTAAATCATTAAATTCAGAATTTCGTTTCCATTTAGGAACATTTTTAATTCTCTCTCAGGTTTTCTTTATCTTCCAAATTACTATACAAACAGTAAGCCAAACCAATGGCAATGCTTGTTCTACTGGATAACTGATTGTTGTTGTCAGTTCTGACTCATAGCTATTCTATATAGGGTTTTCAAGGAGCAGTTGGTGGGTTTGAACCAGTGAACTTGTGGTTAGTAGTACAGTGCTTATACTACAATGCCATACCAGGACTCCAAATGATTATATAGGCATTGATTAATAAGAATAACTGTTTTAAATATAGGTGTATCAATGATTGATATATCAGTTATTCTATTGGACTGAGGCCTTTTCATAATATACTGGGTACCAGGCTGTGAAGGGAAATCAAGTTAGTGAAGCAATATGAAATTCTGTTCTGATGCTTTATAGCCAAATCTTATGCAATTCACATATTCATTTGCAACTCTCATACACCAAAGGGAATGACTCATTCCTATATAAGTGCTTACTTATTTTCCCAACCACCCTGTACTAAACTAAAGCATGAGTTCATTGGCAATGACAATAATCAAAGAAGAGAAAACAAAAATTACACTTCATAATCCAGCTTAATTAGCATAGCCCAACTCAAATTTTTTGCGCTATATCGTAGTCCCAATGGGAGAAAAAAGAAGTAGGCTTTTAAAAATTAAACACCTATATTGCATTTCCAGAGTCCTGGTGTGGCACTTTAGGAAAGGCACCAGACTACAAGGTTTCTTTGGACCTCAAGGTAGGCAGTTCAAACCTACCAGCCACTCCTCAGAAACCCTTCATAGGGTTGGTAAGGGTTGGTACAGACTCGATGGCATTTAACAACAACAACAACATATTGCATTTCCATAAAACAATTATTAAAATGTAAAACAAACTGGGTTTGTCTGAGTGTTAACTGACTGGCCAGAATATTCTGAAAAATGAGAATGAGGGGAAGCAAAAACCAGAAATGAGAAATGTTTTTCTGATATGCACCAGTGATGTAAATTGTAGCAGTAGGGGCTGCCATTCAACAGAGTGTTCATACAATCTCAAAGTTGTAAATCTAAAACCTATACTAATATTGTAACCTTAGAATGAAATATACAGCAGCTACTGCCATTTAGTTTAATAACATACATAATTTAAATTGAATACATCATATATCACTAGGCTACTTCTTTGAAGTAGCGATTAAACTCTTCTACTATGCATATTGTAGTAATACAATAGATGTTTCCTTCTTTGATGATTTTTTCTTTCTTTCTGATACTAATCAAGGTGTGCAACATCAGATCAAATCAGGTAAGTATTTATCAACAGAAGCAAAATTACAGGACTGAAATGACATTGAGAACTACAGTATGCTCAGTTATCTATTTGCATCTGCTTTTCCTATTTGTTTTCCTCTAATGAGTCTATACTTTTCTCATATGAAGGTGTTTTTGATGAGAACAAAGAAAGCAACTCAGATCCACTGCCATATCATAGATGCAGAACACAAGTTGCATGAATGAATTAATGTACGCAATCACGGGCCCATGAGCTAGACTATTTACAATGGAGTCCTGATGTGGAGCCACAGGATAAGCACTCTACCTCAAGGTTGGTGTGAACTGGAAGGTCGGTGGTTCAAACTCACCAGCTGCTTCTTGGAAACCCTATACAGGGTTACTATGAGTTGGAACCGATTCGATGACACTTAACAACAACAACAATGCAAATTATTTTCCTCTGGATCATTTTTTTTTTTTTTTAAATGTTAAATATTTTATAATCACTCAATATTTAACTATAATATTATTCATCTAGGAAAATGGTCAAAAAATATCAAGCCGAGAGTACATGGAAAGTGGGTTATGATATAGAGGTTGAGCTTTCTTTTCAAACATATAGATGGTTAGGAAACCCTATACAGGGTAGCTATAAGTCAGAACCGACTTGACAACACTTAACAACAACAATAACAACTATTAGGAAAGGGAGCATAGTGGCTCATAGAATAAAGATTAGACTGTGGACCACAAAGTCAGTGGTTGAAAACCACCAGTCTCTCTGCAAGAGGAAGATGAGGCTTTCTACTCCTACAAAGATTTAAAGCCTCAGAAACTCTATACAGAACTGTTATTAAGTCTGACTGACTTGACTCACTTAACAACAACAATGATGAGGTAAGACCAGAGGGTAAATATGGGACCAACAGACAAAACACAAATTTTCTAATGATGAATACTATCCAAACACGGACATTTCTCAAGTAATAGAGAGGTACCTATTGCTGATATCGCAAGAGATTGGATGGCCATTGGCTAGGGATGAAGTGAACTGAGCAGTGTAGTGAAGTATAAGATCTTTCTATAATATTCACATCTTGTGATCCACAATGATCATACAACAAAATGTTATTCCTAAAACTGTAACAGCTTATCACTTCATACTTTAAAAAATTATTTTCAAATACATTATTAGCTCAAAAGAAGAAAAAGCAACAGGAAGATTGAGTTTTCTTTTCCATTATTTTAAGGCTGTGAAGGAGGTACCTAGAAATTGTTACATCTCAAATCTGTATTTGACTAGAAATTCTTGGTCAGCTAAATACATTCTTATTATTGTCTTTAGTCTTGATCCCAAAAAACGGAAACCTTTATCAATAAAAGAATTAAAACGCAACATTTACTGAAAAGATATTCAAAGAGTAAAGAATTTTATAAGGATACATGCAAATAAAACCGAACCCAGAGAACTGAGAACAGAAGAGAGTGTAACTACTTACCTCCTCTTTGGCAATTCGCATCTCATCAGTAACATTTGAGAAAACTGTGGGCTGGATAAAGTAGCCTTTATTCCCCCATGGGCCTCCTCCACATTCCAGTTTGGCCCCTTCCTTCTTCCCACTCTCAATGAGGTTGAGGATTTTATCATATTGCTCCTTGTCAATCTATTTGAAAAACATCACCAGAAAAGGGGGTGGGAGAGGATTAGCAATTTGTTCCGACAACCCATTGTCTGGCATGTTAATACAGGATTCAACATGCTAAAATATCATTATTATGTCAAATATTGCATTAAAATAGCTGACAGAGGTGGTGATTCACTCTTTGGATATATTTTATTCTCATGATTTTTCTGGAAAGAAACCTTAAAGATATTTGTATTTACTGTTGCTTTATAGTTACATAAAACAGGCAAATAGTCAGTGAAAACAGATACCTTTTCACAGAACTGTCATTTATTTACTCTGGAATAAATGCCTGTCAATAATCCAACACACTTACCTGGACACTGTATTCCTAACTCAAATGAAAGGAGTGGTAGAAGACAAAGGGTTTAATTAGATATAAGTACAGCAATTGCAGGAGAACTAGTGTAGCGTTGTGGGTTAATGCGCCAGGCTGCTGTTTGAACTACAAGGTCAGTGGTTCAAGTTCACCAGTTGCTCCTTGGAAACCCTACACAGGGTCGTTATGAGTCGGAACTGACTTAACTTTAACAACAACAGCAGTTGCAAATCAGATCCTTTTGGACTTTATAACTCTGGCTCTATTCTGAACACGACCTCTGGCCTGGCCCAGGCCCTTTGATACCACATTCTGACTACAGCCTGCCCATCCTCAATTCAGGTCTTGCTGAAATGACCAAGAGATAAGACTGAAAAGTTTCTGATCTGACCTGAGTGTTACCATTTTACTACAATAAATCTAAAGACATGGCAAGTATAATAGCATTTAAATGATTTGCTAAAAGATATTTTTATATGGGAAAAAAAATGGATTCAGAGTTAGTTTGGAATGTTTTACCCCATGTATTAGGATTGGGGGCCACCCATTACCTCAAAGGTGCATTGGGGGTACACTGGTTAATATGCTTGGCTGCTAACTGAAAGGTTGAACCCACCATGGCTCTGCAGAAGAAAAGATCTGGTGTCTATTCCCGTAAAGAATTCAGCCTTAGAAATGATGGGGCAGGTCTACCCGGTCCCACAGGGTCACTAGGAATTGAAGTACTATGAACTGACTGCATATAACAACAATTTCTTCAAATCTTACTTTGGGTGATTGAAAGATTGTGTGACTCTGAGTCCAAATCCCTGGTGAAAGCTGCCTCAATGTCTCAGGTGTGGCAGGGTTAAGAATGAAAGAAAATGAAAAGATCCAGAAGATAAAGTTTATTTTCTGCCAAGTTTACTCATGTCTCATGATTTAAACAGGTGCTCTTTATCATCTTCTTTGTCTTGGAATATTTTCCCCATCTTCCATAACCCAGGGAGAGGTTCCATAAGTAATCCCTGATTGCATACAGCCAGCTCCCATATTCAAACTCTATTAAGTGCTACTTGAAACCAGAAACCATTTTCTGTAATTTAGCATATTTGACTATACAGTATTTAATTGGATGCTATAAAAAGAGAACGTTCCTTCACTTCTAGCAGGTTTAGGAAATTACAGTGTTGGTTTAGAGTCCCTGGGTAGTGTAAGGAGTTAATGTGCTCTACTGATAATGGAAAGGTTAGAGGTTCAAGTCCACCCAGAGGTACCTTAGAGAAAAGGCCTTGTTTGTCTACTTCTGAAGAATCAGTCATTGAAAAGTCTGTGGAGCCTACTTTACTTTAATCTGACACACAAGGGGTCATCATGAGTTGAGACTGATTCTATGGCAAATGGTTTTTGATGGTTTAATAAATTGAATTCCTGGTGTGGCACTGTAGCATAATTACTGGATTAAACCACAAGGTCAGTAGTTCAAATCCACCAGCCACTCCTTGGAAACCCTATCCAGGGTTGCTATGAGTTGGAACTAACTTGATGGTACTTGAAAACAACAACAACAACAATAAGAAGTTATATTTAAACTATCTCCTTATACTTTATACAATCAAAATAAGAAGGTGATGTTAAGAACTTTCTGCCTAGTTAAGGTATTCTAGCTTGTCAGTAGATAGCCAAGGCTCCACGTATCTCTGTGTGAGGTTTCCCCAGTCTATTTTAAGACATTAATTTCACTTTGCCCTCAAAATCATAATTTTGACTTTTTTTTCAATATGTGTTTCCCAAATAATATGTACATACGTATATTATACAAAGGAGCTCTGGTAGTGTACTGGTTACGAATTGGGCTGTGAACTGCAAGGTCAGCAGTTCAAAACTATCAGCTGTTCCACGGGAGAAAGATGAGGCTTTCTGCTCCCGTAAAGATTTACAGCCTCGGAAACCCTGTACAGGGTTCGCTATGAGTCGGAACCAACTCCATGGCTCATAACCACCCACCACCATATTATAAAAGTTTAAATAGTTCCCTGGATTATGTATTTAAGAATCCTATGAATAGGAATTTTTAAAAAGTAGAATTAACCTCCATTTTCATACGAGTTGTGAAGATTTCTAGCTCGAGTTTTCTATTTCTGGTTGAATTGTTCAGATACTCTATAGAGGGAAATAGTTTCTACTCAGTGTTCAGTATCAGCTATTTTAGATATTCTCTCTTCCACTCTTCTTATATATATATATATTTCTTTATTGACAGTGTTTAACACTTCCTGGGACCCCAAATCAATCAGCCCAACTAAGTCATAGAAGGAAGGAAAAAAAGGATGTTTTGTTCTTGTCTTCTGATAATACGATTCCTTCTATTTTATACCCACCTGAGGGCCTTGATTTACTCCTGGGGTCAGAGGATTTCCAAGAACATACTTCTTAGCCCGTTCAATGCTCCTTCGGACAAACTCATCATAAATTGATTCTTCCACAAAAAGCCTGGATGCAGCTATACAACATTGGCCCTGGTGGTAGAACAATCCCTGGTGTGCAAATTCAACGGCATTGTCCACTGCAAAGAAGACATCAGGTTAAAGAAGAGATATGGCCTCAGAGTAAAGGGAGATGCCAAATATGAAATGGCTGTCTCTGCAGTTGGTCCCTGTTCAATATACCTGAGGAACATTTTTCTTACCATGCTAAATGCGAAGTTAATATCTAACAGTACAGAAAAAAACACAAAAACTTTGTGACCCCTATATGGATTAATACCACGCCTCTTTGCAAGATACACACACAAAAGATCTGTTGACATTCTAATTCCCACTGCCTGTGAATATGACCTTATTTGGAAACAGGGACTTTGCAGGATGAGGTCATTATCATGGCCCTTGACCGATAATGACTGGTATCCTTGTAAGAAGAGGAAAAAAACATACAGGCACAGGGCAAAGATGGCAGGAAATGGACTTATAATGCCCTACCCAGTGAACACTTGAGCAAGCAGAAATAGAAGAGACAAACATAAATCTTCTGCTAGACACTTCAGGGAGAAACATGATCCTGAATACCTTGATTTCAGACTTGGATTCTCTTAGCGCTCTGGAGGCTACATTTCCATTATTGTTTTAAGTCACCCAGTTCTTTGATAAGACAGCCCAGCTGTTGTTGCTGTTAAGTGCAACCGAGTTGGTTCCAACTCATCGTGACCCTGTATAGGGTTTCAAGGAGTAGCTGATTGGTTTGAACCACTGACTCTGCAGTTAGCAGTTCAATACATCCTACGGTGCCACACCAGGACTAATATATCCCTTAGCTGTAAGCCATTTACATTTGGGATCCACTGAGGAAACCATAACCTATTCCAAACCAAGAACTGGTGCATGAGTTAGACTGACCATAGGTGACAACTTTAAGAAAATTTATTTGATTTTTCAAGAGAAATTTTGAAATTACTTAACACTTTGATGTTCAAAGCAAACCCTTTATTAAAATTCAATTCAATGTAGGGCATTACACGACATCACCAGAGATGACCGGTGAAATACTCACAGTCAGCATCAGCAAACACAATGCAGGGACTCTTCCCACCCAGCTCCAGGGTAACCCTCTTCAGATTGCTCTTTCCAGCAGCTTCTTTGATCATTTTGCCAACCTGAAATGGAGCATTGTAAAGGAAGGGGTCAATCTGCTGTTGTGAAGACAGGTTTATTTCATGTTCTAAATGTATAAAATATATGTACCGTAGTTAAACTCCATTTGCGAAACAATTAAAATGGAAAACTTCAAGGTCTGGCACCTTTGGATATAAAAAGCTCAACCATACAAGCAAATAGTTATAAGATGAATCCAAAAATATATGTAAGATGAATAAAAAATTACAAGATGAATTCAAAATGTTCATGAACAAGAGGTATAAAACACGATAGCTGATTCCGATGTGCAAGGCTACTACATACATAGAACAGTATTCTTCATTTTAATCAGAACTTAATTGCTCTAATGATTAAATGGATATAGCAGGACCCAACAATTTATCTCTTTGGCTCTTTATCCCTTACTAAACTTCAGAAAACTCTATTTAGCTACACTGGTCTGTTCACACACTCACATATCACTTCTGTGTTCCTCTTTATGTGGTCTAGTCAGACCTGGAGTGCTTCTTAGTCTTACCCTGCTTTGGGACCTAACTTCTATCTTAGTTCCTCTGTGAACCCTTCTCTGATGACCCCAGGCAGAAATGACCTTTTCTTTCTCTGATCTCCTATTGAAGCTTTCTGAGGACTACTTCAGAGCCTCTCTCAGATTGTGTTATTTGTACACATGGAATTCTCCACAGATAGTCACCTTCTTAGTAATAGTGATGATGCCTTAATACCTCATACCTCTCTTCATTGTGAACTCAGGTTAGTGATGACTGACACATTGTTCTCCCATGCTGCAGTTTTGAACAGTAAAGCTAGAAGAAGGAACTTGGGTCTGTGCTCTGTGCTGCTATCTCAGTTGGCTGGAATCCACTGCTCTAGATTTTTCTTTACTGCTAGTTGCCTTTCTTCAGAGAAACACAATGTTTCCAGATTTTATGATCCTTTGTGGATCATTTCTCATCAAGATTATTTTTGGTAGTTATTGTTATTTTTCATCTCTAAAACTTGGCCTGTTTTATAATGAATAATTAATTCTTCATTATTCTTACTAGAACTTCTATTTAGTTATTTATTTTTACTACACTACAGCAAAAGTATTAGAACTTCTCAAAAGCTAAAGGATGTTGATTTGTGCTGCATAAGCTTCTTGTGTAACAACCAAAATGAACTGGGTTGCGTTTTCTGTTTTCATTTAAGTAACTCAGAAAGATGTTTTTCAAATTAGACTTGGCTTAAGAACATAGGAATCTATTAACATAGAAACTTACAACTCTTCATCAGATTTTTAATAAAACAAACTTCCATCCAGACTGAATAAAAGATAAGTAGGTGATTACTGAGTATATGTCTAAATTTCATGTGGTTATTGAACTACCTGCTACTGCGTATTTTTAAAAGACAAACAACACAAACCCATTGTCATTGAGTTGGTTCAAGCTCAAAGTGTCCCTATAGGACAGAAAGTAATTGTTCGATAGGGTTTCCAAGGTTGGAATCTTTACAGAAATAAGCTTCCATATCTTCTTCCGATAGAGCAGCTGGTGGGTTCCAACTACTGACCTTTAGGTTAATTAGTTGAGCATCTAACCATGATGCCACCAGAGTTAAAGGGACTGCACTTTACAGAGGATAAATTAATCTGCTAATTCGCTCATCTTTTCTAGAGATATTATGGGAGCAAATCAAACCCCTAAAAGTAAATTAATGAAAGAAGACTAAAAACATAGACTTGTATTGAAGACATCCAGTCGGAATCATTTTTCAAAACTCAGAGCAAGTTTCCACATCCAGTTAAACATCGTTATTCCATCGTGTGAACCCTTTTTCAGCACTGTGTACATATCTTAGTTCTCTTATCACATACTATGGAGTTCTGGTAGCACAGTGGTTACAAGTTGGGCTGCTAACCTCAAGGTCGGCAGTTCGAAACTACTAGCTTTTTCATGGGAGAAAGATGAGACTTTCTGCTCCCGTAAAGATTTACAGCCTTGGAAACCCTATACGGGGTAGCTATGAGTCGGAACCAACTCCACGGCATACTATCACCACCATCACATACTGCTTTGTTAACAGCTTTAGAAGATGGGGATACTTTCTCCCTTCATCCTTTATACTTCATACATAAAAAGGCATGCATTGTTTCTTCCCTTGAACATCTAACAATACCATGTAACTTGAAGAATGACTCAAAATTTTTCTGCGTGATACAATGTGATTTCACCACTTTCTTTGCTTAGGATAGAAAAGAATCTCAGTAGATGAGAACTCATTCTCCCAAAGAAAGCAAGAAACTATTCTCTCTCTGTTCCTTCTGTCTCTATTTACCGTCTCTGTGGCTGCTGTTGGGACTATTGCTCTTTAAAGTTCTGGATGATCAAGCTGGAGCCAGAAATGAGGCAGACAAATGAAACTGGGCAGACAGTCATATCCAGGGAATCTGGGCTTCTGGATTCCTTTCAAAATGTCCATGGAAGTGAGAGCCCCAAATAAGGAGTTCAGGGTGAGGCTCTGCTATTTAATTTCATAACCTATACAATAAAATTATGTTCATTCATACAAATCACTGTGGTCTAAAGCATTTCTATCATAAACCTTACTAATCGTATGCCAAGGCCAAACTGAAGAAGAAGTTAATGAACACAATAAAAACAGTTTACTTTAATCCTCCTGAGTTTGTGACACATATTTTGTCTTAGCCAAACTACATTTGCTTCTGTTCTATAAACATATGTGAAGGCTAGAATAAATCATTAAAGAGAACTTGTGTTTTAAGGAAGTGTCAGCTCAAAAACTGTTATGTAAAGCATGCGTCTGACAGCTCGAGGTAGACATTCACGATGACTGGCTGGACTAAATGATTTTACCTCTGTTGATCCTGTGAACGCCACTTTGTCGATGTCCATGTGGGAAGAAATGGCTGCTCCTGCGGTAGGCCCATAACCAGGCACGATATTCACAACTCCTGGAGGAAACCCTGCCTAAAAGGCACAAAGCAAAAGAAGTTATAGAGGAACTGAGACTTCCATTCTATGAAAAAAGAATAGTTGTCTCTTTATGCTAATCGTGTAAAATTTCCTTCAAATCCTAGTGTTGTCAAGTTGATTCCAACTCACAGACACCTGATATGACAGAGCAGAACTGCCCCAGAGGGTTTCCAAGGCTGTACATTTGTATGGGAGCAGACTGCCACATTTTTTGTCCTGCAGAGAGGTTTGTGGATTTGAACCACCAACCTTATGATTAGCAGCTAGGCACCTAACCACTTTCCATCTAAGGAAAATTCACTTAAGAGGCTTGCTTATTAATTTTTAAATTTCTTAGCCAACATAAAATAACTTCAAATGTTCATTAAAAAGGGACTATTTCTTCTTATAACCACCACCACCATTTCTTCTCATGATAAATCATGTTTGACTTTTATACATCATGGCTTTAATAACTGTTGTTACTAAGTGCCTTCAAGTTGATTCTGACTCACAGAAACCCTGTATACGGTTTCTGAGGAGCAGCTGGTAGGTTTGAACTGCCAACCCTGTGGTTTGAAGTCCAGTCAGATCCTATAGCACCACACCAGAAGTATACTTTATCGATAGCTGTCTCAAATTTCAAAATGCTGTTCTATGCTGTTGAGTCCATTCTAACTCATAGCTACCCCGAAGGACAGAGTAGAAGTACCCCATATAATTGCCTGTACTTTTCTCAGGATGAGAGGAGGTTGCCAGGTCTTACCTATTGTGGATCCACTGGCGGGTTCAAAGTCTTGACCTTTTGGTTACCAGATGACTGCTTAAACACTGTACCACCAGGCTTCTTAATTTTATAATTGTTATTGTTTTTATTGTTGTTGTTGGTAAGTGTGGTTGAGTCAGTTCCGACTCACAGCAACACTGTATAGGGTTTTCAAGGAGTGGCTGGTGAGCTTGAACCACTGACCTTGTGGTTCAAACTGACCTTTCAGTCTAGCACATTAATCCACAGTGCCACATCAGGGTGCCCTCAAATCTATTCTGATTCATAGTGACCCTGTATAGTGTCTATGAAACTGTAAATCTTCAAGGGAGCAGGAAATCTTTCTCCTGCAAAGGTTTGAACTGCTAACCTTGCAATTATCAGTCCAGTGCCTATCCTACAGAGCCACAATGTGTTCCAACTTTTAACTACAAAAGAAAGTAGTGAATTGAACTTTGTCTCCCAAAAATATCTGATGAAGTTTTTACTCTTGTATGTGTGAATGTGATTCTTTTTGGAAATAGGGTCTTTGAAGAAGTTATCAGTTAACATGGTCAGACTGGAGAGGGGTGTGTATTGATCCTGTGTGACTAGTGTCTTTATACAAGTGAAGAAGATACACAGAGACAGAGGCAGGGGAGGAAAATCATGTGACACTGCAGCTGTCAAACAAGGAGCAAATGGTTGGAACAAACAGCTACCATTGAGTTGACTGTGAGTCATTATGACCCCAAGTGCATCTGAGTAGAATTGTGCTCCATAGGGCATTTGAGGCCTGATTTTTTTTTTTTGGAAGTAGGCTGCCAAAACTTTCTTCTGAGGTACCTATGGGTGGCCTTTAACTACCAAGTTTTGGTTAGCAGCACAGCAGAGAGGATAAACAGTTTTTACCACTCAGGCGCTCCTTGGATGGACTCGTTTAAAAAACTTTTTAAGAACTACAAGAGCATTTGTGGTAGTTCACATGAAGTGAGCAAAACAAACAAACAAACAAATGATCATAAAGTGACTGTTTGAGACCACACTTATGTGTTTGGCTTCCTATCCAGAGATTCATTTGGGCCGTCAGGAAACCAAGCCAGTTGCCATGTTAAAGGAATATTCACCACTGGGCAGTAGCCATTTTCTGAGACTGTAGCTTCCAGTAGTATTAAGTGAGGTCTTTCTATTATAATTTAGGGTTTCAGATTGTTTGTGTACATTTTGATTTAGGAAACGTACCTCTTTTATTAAAGATGCCACATGAAGAGCCGTGAGAGGGGTTTGTTCTGCTGGTTTGACAATCACGGTATTTCCACAGCTGAGAGCAGGCCCTATCTTCCAAATGAGCATAACCAACGGGAAATTCCACTAGAAAGTAACAATGGAGTCTTTGTATTACTGGAAGGCACAAGTGCTAATCTAACTCTTAACACTTTGTAGATATTACATATTAATTGTAGTTTTGTGTAATCCTCTGGCATATTACATTAAATTCAGTGTTAAAATTGACTTGTAAATGTTTAAAAGCTCTAAATAAATCAGATATGAGGAAGGAGCAAGAGAGTCATGAAATTTAATCAGCTGAGGTTGTTTTGGGTTTATTTTCAAAAATGAGAAATATACCGTATGGCTTCAAAGTCTACCTATTTATTATTAAGCATGTTTTAAATAGTCTGCATTTAAAAAGGACAGTCCTGTCTCCTAGTAGGCCATTTACTGTTAACTATTTACCCAATAATATTAAGTAATATTTTAAAATCTAATGTTTTTAGAAATCTAACACAAATATGTTGTTAACAAACAACAGGGGTGGCTCAGTGACTGGCTCAGTGACTTGTACTCAGACAAGTCATTTGCTCTCAGTGTCTAGTTATGCTTTAAATGGAAATTAACAGCCTGAAAAATTAAGTCACAGAGGAGACCCAGGGTTAACATGTCCTGCAATGGGTTCTGAATTGAGAAAATAAATAGCTTTCTCTATTCTTGTTGAAGAAAACTTCATCACCAAATTGAACAGAATTAGCACTATTTAGAATTGTTTTAAGGTGAAAAGCTACACAAGAGACCAACTTACAGGAATGATTTGCCCACATACACCAATAGGCTCATGTCTTGTGTACGTAAAAAAGTTTCCATCTGTAAAGTAAAACACACACACAATCATGTTTAGATAAGTATATGTGGCATTCATGGAATAGTGGTTTAAGTCATAAGAGAGAGGAAGGTATAGGAAATAAGTGAAAAAACAAACTTATCTCTCAATACTTACCACCAGAAATTTGAGCCCTCAGAAAGTAATTTGGAATGACAGAATCATGAAACTGAGTTATTTATATCAAAGTAAAGATACTTAAAATTAGAAAAGATCTTGTGCTAAAATGAGTTCCTATATGTGGCCTTTTGCCTTGGTTCTTTGGAAAAACAGTTTGAAAGATTTGTTTTTCCCTCTTCAGCCCTAAGGAGTTAGCTACTATTGCCCTAATTGCCTATTCCATCAAGTTTGTTACTTTTGTCCAGCTTAATTGACATTTCAAGGGTAAGGTATAAATAACTTGGCTTGGTTACTTTTTTTGTCTGGTCCTGAGCTTGGTAAGTGATAGCCATGCGCTTTGTTGGGATTGGTTAATAACTTATGCAAATGAGGTGACTATAACCTACTACACAAATGAAGTGTCTATGGCCTATTAAGAAGGGATTGGTCAGTTTATGTCCCCCTGCTGAGATGTGACTTACCTTGACACTGACAAGGAGTTGTGTATATCAACAAACCCCAAAGGGGATTTTAGGACAGAAAAGAAGACAATTGGAAGGAAGGAGAAAGAGAGAAACAGAGAGAAACATGGAAACTCTTAAAGAACAGAAACATGGGTCAAGGGCTTTAACATTGAAGGTAGAAACAGTGTCCTGGAAGGGACCTAGCAATAGAACTGAGGGTAACAGACATCAGTTTGGGGTCAAGAGGAGCCTGTCCCAAGGGGGTTACTGAGAGGAGTTGAGAGAGATGGCCAGCACTGACTGAAGAAGGAAGACTTTATTTATTTGCTTCCTGATCCTGAGTTCTAGCCTGTTGACCTGATCCCAAGTGGTATTTAATAAGCCACTTAACTGTTTCCTAATAAACCACTTAAATAACTGGAGAAGGGCAACATTGCGTATATACTTCCTGAGCCTGAATTCTAGGCTGGTGATCCTGATCCTTCAGGTCTGAAACTGAGCTCACTTTTTTCAGCCCAGTTTTCAGCCAAGCAGTAGATTGTTATATAAGGGACAACAACAGCACTCATAAAGTATGCTCACCATGGAAAGGACAACCATTCAAGATTCAAAGGGCAGCATTTATCTAAGGACAAAGTTCAGAAGGGTTGGAAAGGAGGATGGAGTGGAACTGAGAGCCAAAGGGAGGAAGTGGGATAGCTGTTGTTACATGGAGAGGACTGTAATCATTGACATGAAAGAAGTGTATGATTTGTTGACTGTAAAACTGATGAGCTGCTCTATAAGCCTCCATTCAGTTTAAAATAAAAAGTTGCCCCATAAAAAATTAAAAACAACAACAACAAAAAAGCCTCTAAAAGCAATGAGATACAGCCTTTCCTAGTGGCTTATTCAAAAATGTTCTTTTTTTATGTACTGAACAACAGAAACAAAGACTTAATTCATGAGAAACAAACAACCAGATAAAAACATTTCTTTCAACTTGGATTTAATTCACATGCCTCAAATTTTGATGCGGTAAACCCGAGAATCACATTGTATTTCATCTTCTGTTTTGTTCTAGTTTTCTAGCCTCCTGGTAGTCACAGCAAGAACTCTCTTATTATCAAGGTCTATTTGTGTTTGAAATCATTTCTCCAATTTTGTCAACTGATAAGGAGCTCTGGTAGCGTAGTGGTTACGAATTGGGCTGCTAATCTCAAGGTCAGCAGTTTGAAACTACCAGCTGTTCCGTGGGAGAAAGATCAGGCTTTCTGCTCCTTTGAAGATTTATAGCCTCGGAAACCCTGTACAGGGTCGCTATGAGTCGGAACTGACTCCACGGCACATAACAAAACAAGAACAAATTAAACAGTTACTGAAATAGCCAAATTCTTTGATGCCACCATGACCTCCCTCTCCCCTTTTAACTTCCTGGGTAATTTTTTTTTTAACCTTTTGTTGTGACTTGAGAGAAGGTTTACAGAGCATATCATCAATTGTACATTCAACAATCGAGGCACTTTGTTTCGTTTCAATGATTGTAATCCCCTCAAGGTAACATCACTTATCCCACTTACTCCCTAGGATTCTTGTTTCCATTCCATCTTCCTTCCTAATCCTTCTGAACTTTGTAAAGGCTGTCCTTTTGATCTTGAATGATTGACCATTCCATAGTAAGCAGACCTTACTAATGTGGTTGTCCCCTCTATATACCTATCTACTGCTTGTTTGAATATTGAGCCATGAGGGCAGGTTCTGGTCCAGATTTGAAGGGTGGCTGAAGGCCACCAGGATTATGGAGACTGATATTTACACGTTCCATTAGTCCATTGGACTAATTTATTTCAAGTGTCTCCAGTTTTCACCAGTTTTCTTTCCTTCATACATGGAGAGACCAATAGTTGCACTGTAGATGTGTACCCATGAGCTTTTAAGATCTCTGGGTATCGCTTTTAACCTACTGGGTGCTCCAATTCGTTTGAAAATACACATAGGAGGAGATTAGAAGCTGTTTTCTATAGTCAATACATTTATATGGATTAAACTCTACCCATACTGTTTTCTATGTTGATTCTCCTTTTTATATCTGTTGTGGTACTATAGGATAGGCACTTGACTGCTAACTGCAAGTTGGCGGTTCAAATAAACCACTCACTTCTCAGAAATCCTATGTTGTTGTTATTGAAGTGCTGTTGAATCAGTTCTAACTCATAGTGACACTATGTAAGGTTTCAAAAGAGCGGCTGGTAGTCCAGTGCTTATCCTACAGCACCATATTAGGACTACCAGAAACCCTATATAGGGTTGTTTTCAGTTGGAACTAGTTCAATGGCATTAACAGCAACATGTGCATCCCTTCATTAAAATAATACATACATGCACATTCATATACACAACTTTTTAAGTCAGCTGTAAATCCAATCCCATTTTGTTTTGAAGCCATTTGAAACAAATCCATGTGAATTCGTTTGATGAATAAGCCTGATCTAACTACACTGAGTTAGACCAGGGATAGTGCAGTTAGACTAGGGACAGAAGACCATAAGTGACTCATAATGGACCATTCAAAAAAGGCTTCAATAGTTATATTATGCTGTTGTTAAGTACTGTTAAGGTTAGTAGTCCAGTGCTTATCCTAGAGCATCACACATGGATATAAATGTCACTATTGGAATAAAACTCAAACACGTAATTTCAGAGGCTAATTTTGAAAAGTTTGGGTTCTTAAATCAGTAGTTATGGCCAAAAGTAGTTTTGCTCTTTATTTCAATGTTGTCTAAAATATATAGTGTTATCTTCTGTATGATTATAATGCAGCAATTTAAAAACACATTTTATGAATCTTAAAAGAACTCTTAAAAGAACTTTCAGATTCAAAACTGAATTTTCTCAATGTCAAGGAGAAAATAAATTTGTCTTATTTGGTTGCCATTTTTACAAGGGAGAGTTTGGAATTCTCCAGCTCTACAGTGATCTCTGGGAGTCCTGGCGTGTCACTGTACGATAAACCCTGGACAGCTTACCTCAAAGTCTGTGGTTCAAACCCACCAGTCACTCCTTGGAAATCTATACAGGGTTTCTATGACTTGGAACCAACTCGATGACACTTAACAATAGTAATCTCTTACTCCCAAAGCCAAAACGAAACTCTCTGCCATCAAGCCAATTCCGATTTACCATGACCTGACAGGGCAGAGTAGAACCACTCCACTGAGTTTCTGAGACTACAAATCTTCATGGGCACAGACAATCTCATCTTTCTCTCCTGGAGCAGCTGGTAGATTTGAAGCCTGGACCATGCAGTTAGTAACCCAATGCCTAACCCACAGTGTCACCAGGGTTCCCTTCTCTACATCCATCCTAAAGCGACTCACCAATTGGAATTGTCCGACCCTGGATCTTGTCAGCCCAGCCTGCACAGTAGCGTAGAGTTTTTATGCAGCCTCCCAAATCCATCAGATATGCATTGGCAAATAGTTTTCCACCATTCATTGACTCCAGTGTCTGAAACAGAGACCAAACCTCAAATATAAGCTTCTATAAAATTTCTGGATTAAAGAATATATATGAATGTATATACCCCAAACCAAATCCATTACCACTGAGTCAATTCTAGTTCATGATGATTGCACAGGACAAGTAGAATGCCTCCATTGGATTACTAAGGCTATAACATGGAAGCAGACGGTCACATTTTCCTGTTGTGAAACTTTTTGTTAAACTGCAGGTGGGTCCCACCACCAACTTTATAGTTAGCAACTGAGAGTTTTAACCACAAGGGTTTCTTACAAATCTATATTTCTCTAATGAGCTCCTGGTATGATGTTTAGGATTAGCACTGGACTTCAACACACAAGGTCAACAGTTCAAACCCACCAGCTGCTCCTCAGAAACCCTATACAGGGTAGCTATGAGTTGGAACTAACTCACTGGCACATAACAACAACAACAACAAGTCACGATTTGAGAGTTGTTAAGAATGATACCTAAACTCCTTAGTCATGTCACAGTATTTACTGTATAATCCAGCTGAGGGCAACAATTGTTGTTATTGTTGTTAAGCTCTGTCGAGTTGGTTCCAATTGATAGAGACTCTGTATAGAGTTTCCAGGGAGTAGCTGGTAAGTTTGAACTGCAAACCTTGTGGTTCAAATTTTCCTTATAGTCCAATGCTATATTATTGTGCCACACCAGGACTCCCAATAATGCTTTAATCATTACTTTAAAAAAATTGTTTTCATTATTTAAAATTTTTTTCATTCCTTCTGGATATAACTAGTCTAGCTACACAAACTTGAACAGCACCTAGATCTTTTATTCATGTATGTTCAATTTAGAGTAAGAACCATAGTGTTTACATTTTGAATTCAACACTCATTAACTGAACTGAAATGTATTAAATTTGGTTACTTTTGTCATTATGCAAATTATTATGTCTACAGAATTTTCTTTGGCAAAATTAGTCTTTGCTTTTTCTTTTTTACTTTTAATTGTGAAACTCTCACTTCTGCTACTATTGTCTTATTTACCATTAGATGGGCAGACAGTGAAGTTCAAACTTTTTTGGTCTTTTTACTATCTTTTCTTTTCCTTCTTTCATTAAGCAAATCTTTAAGGAGCTCTTTGGGAAGGAATGTTTTGCTGTGGTGGTACCTGGAAGGAATGTGTAGCTGACAGAATAGTCTATTATATCATCTTCGTTCTCTGTATTAGACTGTCTGCCATCTCAAACTTTAATCAGACATGATTTTTCTAGGTCTGTTCATTGTTACCTTTGAAACTTGTGCTGACAGAGTCAGTCAATGCTCTAGAATCCCCAGATTAGATAAATGAGATAAGTCAAGTTTTATATCCTGGTTAATGTAGTTTTACTGCATATAGCTTCTGGCTGTATATTTTCACATACTCTGAATTATGCTGAATCTTTGTGTAGTAAATCATACTTTAATTATATGTATCACTGTTGATGAAAAAAATGTAGGCCTTTTCTTACTGCTTAAGATACTAAAGATAATAAAAAATCTATTCTGAAACCTGATCTTGATACTGGTTTGTGTTAAACAGATTTAACCATAATATCCAACTAAGAAAACAAAGAAACAGACATCTTGCATATTAAATGCTGACTCATCTAACTGATTAGATACATATTTTTAAAAACAGCATATTCACAAAAAGTTTGCAAACACAACAATAATTGGATTTTTTTTTCATTTACTTTTTTCCAACTGTAGAATGGTCCTAATTTAATGAAATCACAGACATATTTCAGGAAAGGAAAATGTAGCTATTACCAAGTAACTTATTGTTTAGTGCTGTTGAATAGGTTCCAACTTACAGGAGCCTTGTATAGGGTTTCCAGGGAGTGATTGGTGGGTTGAACTGCCAACCTGGTGGTTAGCAAATCCAGTGTTCTGGGAATCTTTTAACAAATTCCATGTGATTTTCCACTCGGAGAAGTCAGTGATCAAAGCAAGTTTAGAAACCCAGTATATCAATCTAAGAGTTTCATATTGCATATGACCTTGTTAAGACTCTTATGCGAGGTTCTGCAGTAAAGGAAAGAAATTTATCAAATTAGGTTTAAATCAGTGTTTGTGAAATTTGGACTGCAGAACCTATCATGGGGAAAGAAATGATACCTTCCTGAACTAGAGTATGTTGTGTTTTGGTTTTAAGTTCAATGTTAACCTTGCTGTACAAAATCGAGAAGTTGAAGTATTCTATGTTTTGTTTGTAGAGCACACGTAGTATTCATTAAAATCTAACAATTTTCAATTCCAACAAGAAATGTTCTCTAGGACTTTCACTCAAGAGAAAGATGAGGCTTTTTACACCCAGGAATATTTAAAGCCTTAGAAACCCTACACAGGATCTCTAAGAGTTAGAACCCGCTCCACTGCACTTAACAACAGGCCTCTTGCTACCTGGCTGGTTTAGCTCATACTCACTGCCAGCAGCAAGCGATCTCTCTCAATTAAATCAGCCAACTTGCATATCAGTCGTCCCCTTTCTGAAGCATCCATAGTACGCCATGGAGAGCCAATCTGAAAAGCCTGTCTTGCAGCCCTCACTGCTTTGTCAACGTCTTCCTGCAAGAAAAATGGCAATTCAATTCAGTAGTCTCACATACTAGTAAATCCAATGGTAAAGACCCTTTAAAACAAGAGTGAAGCTTCCTATAAGTGGGCATTGTGACTTCATTAGCCCCAAGCCTATCATATTTATATACTCAAAATGTTGAGATGAAGTCCATTGGCTTATCTCTCAAATAATGAACATAATGAATGCATCACATGGTTGCTTTCCTAGAACAAATATAAATATAATTGTAATTATTTTTAATAGTTGTCATCACCGGAGGCTCTGTAGAATAAGTACAAGACTGCTAACTACAAGGTCAGAAGTTCAAGCCCACCAGGTGCTCCTCGGGAGAAAAATAAGGCTTCCTGCTCCTGCAAAGATTTATAAACTTTACAAACCCTAAAAAAGGGTCCCCATGAGTTGGAACCGACTGGCCGACACTGGTGATCACTGGTGGAAGGAGCCTGGTGGCTCTGCTTAGGTGTTGGGCTATTAACCACAAGGTCATTGGTTCAAACCAACCAGCTGCTCCACGGGAGAAAGATGAGGCTGTTTCTCCTACAAAGACTTGACCTCGGAAACCTTGTGCAGGGTTGTTTGAGATGGAGTCGACTTGAAGGCAGTGTGTTTCTTTTTTAGGTTTTATCATTGTCATGCTTGTTGTTGTTGTTGTTAGGTGCCAACAGATTATAGTGCTCAGCACATAAGACTATATAGCAATGTCATCATAATCGCATATTCAAAAACTCACTTAATTCTCAATACCTTATGAAATAAAAATGTTCCTCATTTTACAAATGAAAAAACTGAAGCAAATGGAGAGAGATTTGGTTGATAAGTAAAAGTGGCAAAACTGATAGCACCACAGAATGCTCTGGTATCTGGGTTACCAAGAATTCCAAGTCTTTGGGTCCCATCTCACCTATGAAACTTATTGATCACATTTATTTTTTTCCTTCCCTAGAATTTTCTTCTACAAGTGTATCTCTTTACTTTCAAAACCCCACATGTTGTTTTAAGACTCACCTCAAATACCACAACCTACCTAAACCCTTACCAGACCAATCTGGATTCATAATTAAATGCAAAACCCACTGCCATCGAGTGGCTTCCAATTCAAAGAGACCCTGTATAAGGTTTCTGAAGTCATGAATCTTTATGAGAACAGAAAGCCTCACCTTTCCTCCACAAAGTGGCTGATGGGGTTTGAACTTCCAACCATGCAGTTAACCAGTCCAATATATTCCCCCTAGTATCACCACAGCTTCTTAGATTGCTAATAGCTACTTTTAAGATATTGCTAACTTCCAGGCACTAAGCTAGGCTCTTTACAACTATGAATCCATCAAGTCCCACAGTTACCACTACAGTTAAGTATCATGAACCTTATTTCATGGTGCATAAACTGTGGATCACTGGCATTAAATATTTAAGCCAACAAATGATACGGTCAGGACTTTATCCACATCTGACTTCAAAATCCAGCTCTTATACGCAACGTTGCTTTTGAAATAGTCTTTGCAATGAGTATTTGCTACTATCTGTATTATATGCTATAATATTTCTCACTGTTCTAATTACAAAAGGCAGTTCATAAACATTTAATAATTTTGTTACATGCCTTATACACTCATTGATTTTATATGAACTACAATCAAGAAGATATAAATTATTAATATTGATATTTACTTATTTATATAATGGCTCTGTAGGATAAGCACTGGACTACTAACCACAAGGTTGGCAGTTCAAACCCACCAGCCATTATGCAGAAACTCTATACAGGGTTGTTATGAGTCAGAAACAACTCAATGACACTTAACAACAACA